TTTTAACACAACGTGGTGCGATCATCCCCCTTGCGCGGAGTGAGGGCTTGATGAGCAAGTGTATTTGCGCAAGTTCGCTTGTTTCCCGCGGTTGTCGGTATGTTGTCTCGTGTCGCTGCCGTGTGCCCCCAAATACTGTTTTTTCCTACTGTTTGTTCTTGAAGACATGATGTGCGTGCATGTGTTTTCATGGCATGCATATTTTTGCCATTTCTACCGTATTACCGCACAAACTCCTGGGGTCAATTTTGTTTTGTCTCCTCCGACTTGAGCAACAGTGCAGCGTGATCGATGCATGCACACACTCACAAGCGAAGCCGTCGCTCAAGTCAGCGGACGATCGATCGTGGAGGGTGACATGAGGTTGGTGCAATCCTGTTTGTCAATGCTGTCTTGACTAGTGGGGCCCGTGAGAAAAAACGACGCCTACAAGAAGGAATAATAGCATTAAGTGCGTGATTCCCGTATCTGTTTTACCCCTGAATAACCGCAACGCGAAACTTGGAGTGTTTCATTGCCCGGCCGCGTGTTGTTCTCCGCCGGCGGTGCTCCTTTTCACAGCCTTTGGAATTTTCGGAAGCATTCGTCCTGGTTTCTTTCGACCAACCACGGCTGCGAAGAGCTCAGCAGGTGGGCAAAACAAAAGCTCCGCATCCCAAACTTTGCCAATTTCAAATGCCAATCAAGCTACAAGCTCCTCCGCGCCTCGGTCGTTTTGGAAATTATCGCGGTGCAATCCCAGCCGACGCCTTTCGTGCCGACCTCCGAGAGAGACACGACACTCTACGCATAGGAAACTTCTTCGAAAATTACATACATCCACTCACTGAAAGACTACCCGTTCGAGACAAATACTCCCAACGTTTCTACATCATCGGCGCTTGCCGACGGCGCCCGTTCCTTGACCGTTCCTGCTTTCTCGACAGGTCTCCTGGTATCTCATCCACCGCTGCTTCTGCTAGGACCCCCGCCCGCGTCCGCTGCTCGCCTCCACCACCCCGCCCCCCACCCCCCCTTTTCCGCCTGCCTCCCTTTTTCTTGCTCCTCCTCTGGGCGTTGATGCTCGTGAGGGCTTGCGCCGTGCCTTCCGTGCCGTCGGGCGTTTCCTCGCCGCCACTTCCGCTCTCTGCCGGCGGTACGGGTTTCCCGTCCCATGTGCCCTCGGCTCTGCTCCTGGGGGCGGTTTGGCCGCTCGATGTAAGGCGGACGATTTCGGGGTCCCGCTCCCCCGCCTCCTGCCCCCCTGATTTCGCCTCTCCTTGTATTCTCGAGCTACAGCAATCCTCCTCCTCTTCCTCCTGGTACCTCCTTTGTTTTTCCTTCAACCGCCGGGTCCCTCCTTCTCTGTTGTCCGCGCTTCTGGCGCTTCGGCACTCCTGGCCCTCCTCTTTGTTCTCCGGTGGAAAATCTTGGGTCTCTCCCACCGACGTTGCCGCTTCTTCCGCTGGTGCCATTTCTGCTGTTGTTGCTGATGCGGTTGCTACAGGCACCGCTGCTGCTGCTGCTGCTGCTGCTGCTGCTGCTGCTGCTGCTGCTGCTGCTGCTGCTGCTGCTTCCGCCGGCGACCTGCTGCTTCTTCTTCTCGCCCCAACCTCCTCAGCTGTCGTCGACAACGGCGTTCCCTTCGGTAACGGATGCGGCCGGACAAGAAGCACATCGTCGTCCGGGTCTTGTCTTGTTGGTCCTGCCGCCGTTTCTGGCTTGGGTGCGAAAAGAAACTTGGCCTGCAGAGAGCATCTGTCCACGGTGTAACGCTCGCGCTCGTGCGCCTTCAGGGCCCGCGCCCGCACTCGCACCAGGCCGCTCGGTCCGAGAAGCCCTTCTTCTCGGCATGCCTGCAAAAGAAACGATGCACGGGGGGGGGGGGGGGGGGGGGGGGTTCGTTGGNNNGGGGGGGGGGGGGGGGGGGGGGGGGGGGGGGGGGGGGGGGGGGGGGGGGGGGGGGGGGGGGGGGGGGCGGGGCGTACCAATGCTTTGCATGCCTTACCACGCGTCCTCGAGAGGACGGAGCGATTTTCCCACAGGACCGGTCTACCACCGATGGCCAATCGTTCCTTCCTACTTTGCCAAACGGGGGGGGGGGAGGTCAAGATCAGGCAAAGGGGGGCGGGCGAATGCACTCTTTGGGAAGAGGTCGAAGTCCTCATTCAGGCTATAGAACCCCCTGCATCAAAAGCTGAGGCGGAGCACGACAATGGTTCTTGCCATCGATCAGGTAGGCGTCGTCGGCGTCAGGGGGGGGGCGTGGTGTGTTCATAGTCTTGGATGCCGTAGTCGTTAGACCATTGACCTCGCATCCCTACAAAGCCGGGACGGAGCACGCCGGGTTCTCACCGGGCCAGGCTCTCACATCACCAAGCGCGAAGCACTGAGGTTATCGGCGAGTCGCATGAAGGGTGCGCTGCATTCTGCTAAGGGTGTTCGGCATCTTGTGCTTACTTCCTTGCGTACGGATGGCAGCTGCATATGACTTATTTTATTTTGGGAAAACGACACGACAGAGCATACCCTGGTCGAAAAGCGACTCAGCTGGGTACATACTGTTCGGCAGCGTGGCATGCACTCATATGATTGATCAAAGCACGCTCCTCACTCCGCTGCGTCATAAATGGCGCAGGGTATACCCTGCCGTGGCTACTTCTCTCAAAAACTGTACCCTGTTTTTCGGAAATGTACCCGAACTGACGGGGAATGAGATCCATTCATCAACCGTTTCTTCCGCAGGAGTCTTCCCAACCCCTTTTGCCCTACAACCATGGAATACCAAACGGCGAATCTTCCCGCCCACAAGCAACTATGGCGACGGGGCCGGAATCAGTTTCCGCCCCTGCAAACAACACCGATCATCAACTCTTCCCGCCCTTCATCAACAATGGCCGGGCAATGTTGTGCGCCGTCACTCCCTACTGCCTGTGGCGTGTGTGCGTGCGTGTGCCCTGTGGCGCGTGTTGTCTCTTGTGGCTCAATTGTGGTGCGTGTCTCGCTTGAACTACAGTAAGTAGTGGATTTTCTTATTATTGTAGCATCCATCGCGTTTACGAGTCAACCACTGTACAGTAGCAAGACGTCAGGCTTCAGCGGGATGGAAAACAACGCGAGCACTTTTCTTGGCTCTACCGACAGCGAGGGTGCAGGAGTTGGGCGACGCAGCAGTGCCCTGCTGCCGGAGTAAGGATAAGACTCGCGTGTGGATTAAGACTCCGTGTGTGTAGACTCAACACGTGTGTGTGTGTGTGTGTGTGACAGCCCTTCCTCCGCCTTCCTCCACTCTGCGGGCGCGAGGTCGCCGCCGCCAGCACAGCGCCACACATTGGCACTACTGCATGCATTTCAACCATGCTGGATCGGCCTCGTCTTGTTGGCGTGACCCGTACATCTCGCACACAGACTTCGGCAAGCAGTAGTCTACGGGGGTATAGCACGTGTGTGTGCATGATAAGCACTGCAAGTAAGGACGGCAGTTTGGTGTCGGTTGCTTTCCAAACGGAATTGTGCTTGCCGGTGTTTTGCCCGGCCATTTGTTGATTTAGAGCGGGAAGAGTGGTCATTGGTGTTGTTTCGCAGGGGCGGAAACTGATTCCTGCCCGGTCGCCATAGTTGCTTGTGGGCGGGAAGATTCGCCGTTTGATATCCCACGGTTGGAGAGTAAAAGGACTGGGGAAAATTCCTGCCGAGGAAACAGTTGATGAATGGGTTATTCCCCGTCAGTTCAGGGTATATTTCCGAAAAACAGGGTACAGTTTTCGAGAAAATTAGCCACGGCAGGGCATACCCTGCGCTATTTGTGGCGCAGCGGGGTAAGAGTGTGCTTTGACGAATCATATGAGTGCATTCCACGCTGCTGAACAGAATGTACCCAGCTGAGTAGCTTTTCGACCAGGGTATATACCCTGTTGTGTCGTTTCATCCTGGTGCGTTCACTTCCAGACACAGTTACGAGCACTGCTGTGAAACTGCCTTGAGGGTGTTCGACCAATATATCACAACGTGGTGCGATCATCCCCGTTGCGCGGAGTGAGAGTTCCCGACCCCGCACAACATAATGTACTCGACCACCATTATGGTCGGGGGAGGGGGGGGGGGGGGG